GCACATGCCAGCCAGGGACATTGCTTGCTGGCTAGATTGGCGTATTTGCTGCTGCTGCTGCATCTGTCAAGGTAAGAGGGGCCATCTGTGAACTGCATGTCAAGGTTAGAGGACCTGTTCTCAGTCCTCTTACTTCATCCTGTTGGTCTAAAAGTGCTGAGTCTAAAGGTGTTGCCTTTTTTTTTCCTCAACAGCAAGACAAGATTATACTTGAATCCAAGTATTATGTTATGGCATACGAAATTGGTTGCCTTATGATCTTTGTATTGAACAGTGGATATTGTATGTGCCTATATATTCTCTTTTTTCCAAATAGATTTTTATAGTAGCTGCATGATGTTTTTTCTCCATAGATTATCTACATCTAAGAATGGGATGGAGTATTAAGTCATATAATTTTTTACAAATAGTTTGGTTTTGCATTCATGAAAATGCATGTGTCCAATTTAGATGCTAATTAATAATTGTGATGATGTGCCATCAAGTTAATTCTGACTGATCATGACTCTTCCGAGGGTTTTCTAAGTATAAAGTACTCAAAGGCAGTTTACTAGTCCTTTCTTCTGGAGGTGTTCTGTGACTGTGCAGCTTACCCAAGGCTATATAGGTTGGAACTACTGATGCAGTGGCCACACCTATTCAGAAAGGTCTAATGTGTTGAGATATTCCAGCAAAAAATGTGACTCATTTTGCTCCAACACGTTTATGAGAATTAGTCAAGACAACTGGCTGCAACATTAAGGCAGTCACCATTTTCACTACTTTTTTTTAGTCTGGAGCTATTTAAAGAAGAATCACTTCACAAACAAGAGGTTTAAGGTATGTCACTTGTTTGACACTCAGGTTAAAGTATGAAAAGAAGCAGTTTCTTGTCATGGGTGAGGAGGATTCACAATGCATATTGAGGAGAGGGTGTCCATTTTCTTAAATACCTCTGTGGCTTTGGAAGAAAATCATATTTAATCTTGATTCAGTATCAGACCATGCCAGTAACCATTGTAAGGATGATTTCTAATATAATTCTAATATCTTTTTACTGAATGGACAGCTGTTTCTATTGTTCACGTGCATTGTAAAACACAAAGCATTCACAAAGTGTGCTTCGTATATGCAGGTGTGGATCCCCTGCTCGAGTTTCATCGATCAAAGTACAATGTATTCTTTGACTAATTGCTTATGAAACAGAAGTGTATTAAATATGTCTTTGTTTATGAATAATCATCTTGATCTTATTTGCTGTTTTAAGAGGAAATGCAAGTGAAGCAGACAAATTTATAATGAGTGTTTTATAGCACTGTCACTGTAATTACCTGTTTTTAATCAGTAAAATTGCTACCACATTTTGTTAAAACATTTTTCCTTTACTTAATTTTCAGAATTCTGAGTAATAACAAGATCTTGTGGTTAAAGAACAACTCTTTCACTGGACTTAGATCCCTGGAGAGATTGTGAGTAACTTACTTTTTTCAAATCCTTTCTTGAAATGTTTAAATAAATATGCAGCGGAGCTCAGAAGCTCTGAAATGTGCTTAAGGATAGGGTTTCTGTTGTTGTTTCAAATTAATAAATGTAAAGAAGATGATAATCATATGATAGCAGTGGCCATGCCAAAGGAGGCCAGGAAATCAACAAAAAGCCAGGGCTTCTCAGCTGTGGTGTCTTCCCTCTGGGACCAGCTAATTGTTGATCTGTGCCTGGTCCCTTCCCTGCCTACCTTTAAGAGGCTGCTAAAGATGGAGCTCATTAGATGTGCATTTGACAGCCATCTCCCATGATTTTTCTACCGTTGCCCTGGCATCTTAGCATTTGGTTGTCAAATGTTTATTTTTATTCTTATTTGATTTTTTTTATTTGAGGGTTTGTTTTTAGCTTATTAACAGTCCAGAATAGTGCATTTCACTAATGGGGTGGTATGGAAATGAAATGAAACCAACCAAACAACCAGGGGATATGCTTTTAAATGATTTTAAATGGTGATGTTTGATCTTATTAAAGTTTCCATCCTTACAAGGTCGGTAAACTGGATAGATGGATAGAATAGAAT